CCCCAAAACCCCAAAACCCCAAAACCCCAAAACCCCAAAACCCCAAAACCCCAAATCTCTAGGCCAAGATTGATCAAATTTTATCAAAAACGTAGATATTACAAAATTTGTTTTATCAAAATCCACCAGCAGGGATTTGGTAGTTAGAAAAATTATCGTTCATTTTCTCACAAATGTACTCGATTATTAGTAGTCTAGAAGTCAGAGTCGACACTTACTTAGTATGGAACTTACTCTGAAGTCCCATCTGGTGCAAAGATGACTCAGTAAAGTAGTCTTGGTTCGCAAACTCCATCTGGCTTAGGATGTATTCGGCTAGCTTGAATGGGTTAGAGTCTTTGGTGACTTTTAGACTCAAAGTAAATTCAGAGTTGAGTATAAATTCAAGCTTAAATTCGGAAATAACTGAGATGGGCTTTGTCTTAGGGACAAATTTTCTTGTACTTTGAAGGTTTAGAGACCTTTTTGTTTTTTTTTGTTCTATTCCTCCAAAATTTTCCAGCTTTTGGAAATCTAAGCCAGGATCCACATCCTTTGTGGATGAAGGATCTGGCATGTTTTTAGAGCATTTGGAAGACTCTTCAGCTTTATGAAGCTCCTCTTTCTCCTCATTCACTAAAGTCTGAGGATTATCAGCAGATTTCAAAGAGATTTTGTCTTCAGATGGATCTGAGAATTGGATTCTTCTAACTTTAAGACTAGATTCCCCGGTTAAGCTACAAACTTTGACAACTCTTCTCCTCGACCCTAAAAGGATGATTTCTGAAGAAAAGAGAAACATACTTTTTACTGGATCAGTTCTGGGTTCACTTCATTGTATAGCTGAAGACCCAGCAGTTGTCGACGCTGTACCAAACTCATATTCCTTGTCTTTCCCAAACTTTATCGGAGTTGAGGTATTATCCTGACCGTATTCTGAGGCTAAAGAGTAAAGATGAGCTTTAAGCCCTAGCCATATCTCTCATCTTCACAAAATCGCAAATTCTTAGCCAAGTAATTAAGATCTAATTTAAAATCAGCCCATGCTGATTATTCATACCACATCTATCTAAACCACCTCCCATATCCTAAAATTCACATTTAAAAAGTAGTGGGCACACTTATCTATCAAAACTTGCAACCTCTAAACAGCATCAAGCAAGAGCCAAAGCATGAATTCACTATTTTGCTTAAGAAATGTACCATTTGAATTCATTTAGAATTTATTTTTATTAATGTCTCTTAATAATTTTCCCTCTGTGACCGCTCAATAGCCAATAGGAGCACTGGGGTTTTGGGGTTTTGGGGTTTTGGGGTTTTGGGGTTTTGGGG